CTTTTTTGCTGTCCCCATATGAAGGATCCTCAGCCTCCATCATTGCTGGTGTTAGTCTGATGTAAGGTTGTAGAGATGGGACAAACTCTAAATGTAATACAGCCATAGGGGACAGACTTATTTAAAATCAAATTAATATTGAGAGTATTCACGCGGATCTGCAGCAAACCCCATTCCAACTCCTGACTCCAAAGATTTCTGCAGAAGCACTCCAGTTCTAATCTGCATCACTGCCTGTTATTCTAGCATTAGACCCTCCCCCTCAAATCTGCCAGTGCACCTCAGTCCTGACCTGCAGCCCCCCTTCCCCAGTCTTCCATTCATGGGCCTCTCTTGGCAAGCAACCACTAATCTGTATTGTGCCAGATGGTGCAATGAGAACAAATGGAAACCCAAGTCTACAAGCCACTCACCTCTTTTAAACTTGTAACCTGAGCTAGGATTTGGAACCCTTCTGAGCTGCAATCAGAGCAGAGATGAATTCCAAACCCAGCATTTAACCCCGCGAGCCAGATTTCCTATTGTATGGGTATTTCTTTATTTTCTAATATCACTATTAGTATTTTTCATTTAACAATTTGACAGAAATAAAATACGCTGCAGTAACACCGGTGATAACACATTTACTCCCACTTGAGAGACTGTCATTATTCTTTCATAAGTCACTTCTAGCTTACAGCTGTATTGATCACAGGTGAGGATGAATGGGGTATCCCAGGAGCCTCTGGGATAAATCCTACATAGTTTTTTTTATATTCCACTGAACAACTATTTCTAAAACTCAACAAAACAGGTCACCAGGGCAGTGCTCTATTGATTTCATGTCCACTTACTCTTCATATGCCGTGGAGAATGTTTTATCAATAATTCAATAGGCTGCAGCCCTCAGGTAACCCAGGAGAGGTACTAGCCTCTCTTCCAAACAGCAATGGGCAGGTGCTTTGGATATTCAAGAACCATTGAATCACCCACCATTACAACCACCATCCCCTATGAAACACATCCCTCCAAACTTGGACCAGCTATGTCATACAACCAACCACAGCCTGCAAATGAATGGGAATGTAGTACTCTCCCCATCCTACAGGATACAGACCATATGGAGGTCCAGTCAACATCTGGCCTTGCAATTAACAGTTTCAAGGGCTTTATCATCGGCCCCAAATGTAATTTCACAAGATGCTGTGAAGTTAACAGAGAAGCAGCTCTGGTCTGGTGATTGCATGCCTAGGAACCTCTTCCAGAATCACTCTGGCCTCTGGAATTTTATATAATTATTCACATTCCTACATCACAGGTTTCAAAATTCATCTTTTTTTTTCAGGGGGAAGAGGGTAATTCTATAAATTCCTCTTCCTTTCATCATCCTCATCCCCTCTCCCACCTCCCAGGAGAACCCTCCAGGATGGAACTTACAGTTCAAAAAGTCTCAGTGTCTGGAAGAGTTGCCAGGATAGTGTGGTGAGCCGGTTACCGGAGAGGTTTCTGAAAATTAACAAGAGAAAGAATTCATGGTGAATAATTCCCTCTGCACCGAACTCTACTGGGATCCTCAAAGCTCATCATTTTCCTCTACAGCTTACAGCTACAGGGAGCTATCAAGTACTCCAAGGCTCCAACTTTAGTAAAAAAAAAAATTGAATGGAACTGAATGTGGATAGAAGACTTCCCTTCCTTTTTGTGGAAAAAGCCCCTATTCTGCTGAACTATGAAAAACACAAAGGGTACGTCTACCCTTGCAGTCTATTTCGAAATAGGGTTGCAAATGTAGGCATTCAGAATTGCAAATCAAGCCCGGGATTTAAATATCCCACGCTTGATTTGCATCTTCCTGGCCGGGCGCCATTTTTTGAAATTTACAAGCCCAGAATAACTGCCCGTGTCTACACGCAGCAGTGAAACGGGCGTTCAAAATAAGCCCTATTTTGAACTACCTGTTAAACCTCATTGCAGGAGGAATAACAAGTAGTTTGAAATAAGGCTTTATTTCAAACGCCCGTTTCACTGCCGTGTGTAGATGCGGGCAGTTATTCCGGGCTTGCAAATTTTAAAAATGGTGCCCGGCCGGGAAGATGCAAATCAAGCATGGGATATTTAAATCCCAGGCTTGATTTGCAATTCCGAATGCCTACATTTGCAGAACTATTCCCAAACAGGCTGCAAGGGTAGACATACCCAAATAGAACAATTCCCTGCAACCATACCCGAGAACCAGAAAGGGAACCAGCTACAAATAGAAAGGAAAGCTGATCTGAATGGTTTCACTATCTGCAGGATCCCGGGATCCCAGACGCTGCCTCCTGGCCCTGTGTGGGGCTGCTGGCCCCAAAAGCCCCAGCTCCTGCCCTGGCCCATAGTATGGAGGACCCAGCAGAACTGGAGAAGCCCTCTACCCACAGTGGGCCACAGGCAGGGTGCTGCTCCTGGGCACTGGTTAACCATTACCCGTTCCCATTCCAACCAGTTACCCATTTACATCCTTATTCCGGATTTGAGTGAAATATAAACAAACTGCTTGGTAAGAAATTAATGCTAATCCTTATAATTATTTCAGCTTGGATTGTCTAAAGCATTAACAGTAACATATCAAAGGGAAATTTTAAAATAGGATTTGTAGATCTGTAGATCCCATTAGGTCCTGTGTCATTCACACTGAAAGGGGCTGCTGAAGTAGCAACTAAAAGCAACCACTTTCTAGCAGCACTTCACCCCCACTGCAGAAACGTGACCTCTTCTCTTTCTGGGAACATTTTACAAACCAGTGCCCATGTCTACTGAGTCAAGTAAAAGAAGGAGAGACAAGAGGAGGAGGATAAAAAAAGACCTGGAGACCAGCAAGAAAGCAAAGAGGGGTCAAAGACTAGCTCAGAGAGGACAGAAGCAGACAGTGAGGAAAAGAAAGAGAGACAGGGCAAGAGAGAGACACACACACAGAGGGAAAAGTAGGTTGTATTTTATTTAATAATTCATTTTAACATAAAGGGAAAAGCAAAGAACCTACATTTTGTAACAGGCAAAATGTTCAACGGATCCTCAAGCCACACTCAAAACAATCTCCACAGTTAGGATATTAAGTGTGCACATGTACACGGCTGCTGGAAATTTCTGCCTTAGTGGAACCGGTGGGGCCAGCTCTGGGGAACCCTGTACCCTGTGCTGGTATATGAGGCACTGCCCAGGCCTGGACCCTCTCAGTTCCTTCGTGCCATCAACTCCGACTCACGGAATAGAGATGAGCAACGCATCTCAAAGAACGGCAGTTACAGAAGATGAGTGACAGCTGTGTCTTCGAATGCTTCCTCATGTCAATTCCATATTAGATGACTCACAAAGAGTATCCCTGGAGGCAGGGTGGGAGTTCATGGATGTGCTGTTGGCAACACTGCTCTGTCGAACCTGGCGTCATCTCGACCCTGCTGGCTGGTGGCATAATGGGACACAGGTATGGACTAAAGTTCTGCAAAATCTAGGTGCCTGTTTTTAACATGCATTTCCCCCAAACATTACAGATAACTTGCATGGGGGTCACTGACTGGCAAGCGCAACATAGCTCGAAGTGTGGGGACCGGGACATGCTTAAGGTGACCATGAAAGTACTAATGTACTAACTACTTAATGCTATCTCTATGAACAACTATATGCAAGACACTATGAAAGAAAACCAATATAAGCACTGCCAGTTGCTAGAGCCGGGCGACTCACCATGTGGTCCTCGGGCTGCCCATTTGTTTGTGGCTCGTGGTGCAGTTTGAGTTTATGCAGGGCTCAACACACGGCCTGCAGGTGGGCTCCTTTGAACATGGCCTCCATTGTGAACATGCTCCACAACAGCGAGTCAATATAATGGCCTTCTGTTGATATGTGTTTTAGTAGTTACATTCCTGGACTGTCGTTGCTCATTAAAGGTGCTGTCAGATGAGTGGAAATCGGGTAAATATTGCATTTTATTAATATCATCAGAACTGACTCAAATGGGGCCTGTGTGTTGTGTAGTCTTGCTTAATCTTTGTATTCATGCCCGTCAGTGTGAAAGCTGCCATTTGCATATATATTTGCATGTATATGCAACCCCACTTAAGCTGCGGCCCACGGTACGTGCTGCGAGTATCATTGTGGCCCCTGGGGCTTCCAAAGTGGAGTAGCCCTGTGCTAGAGGAAAGGAATTCCAGCAACTGCCTTGGATGATAAGAAGGAACAGAGAGGGTTGCAGGATCGGTGGTGCATCATACTCCAGAGCATGAGCACAGGACTCCAGCGGGGGCCAGAGCTGGCCCTACAGATCTGACTAAGGCAAAAATCTCTGGTCACTGGGCATGTGCATGGACTAGACACGAGCAAGCACTCGAAGAAGAATTCGGCCTCGCAGCTTTGCACTTCCCAGCTCCACACCTGGCAGCCCCGTTAACACACACATATTGAGCTCACACATGCCAGCTGAAATTTTTTGCACCTGCAATAATTTGAGCGTGAAAAACTGCAGCTGCAGAAACTAGGGGCCAAAGCTCCAAACCATTAATCATCAGCATGAGTGAGCATAAAGCCTGCTCCTAATTAGAGCCTAATTAACTCTGCCTTCTCCTCTTTCCAACAAACTCCCATTTTACAGCAAAACCAAGACGTAGGGACGGATCACAGGCAAACTCCGGGCTTCAATTCAAAGTTCAGCAATTAACTTCAGTAACCCCCGAGGCCACTGTCTGGCCTTTTAAGTCACACTCCTGCACAGGGAAGCCTGAGATCTGGGACCCCAATGCACCGAGGCAGCATTATCTGGTCAGGAGAATCTTTGGTTTGGAAGCCCATTCTTGCAGTGGTGGTAGTGGGGGAGAGCCTGCAGCATGGGGAGGAAGCCAGCTCCATTGCTGCAAGCGGCAGTGAACTTCCAGCAAACAGAATTTGGAGAGTTGAGTAGCTTCAGGACTTTCTTTCCCCCTGCTCAGCAGTGGGATTCTGCACCCTTACTAATCACCAATAGCATGGCTCCCTTGGAACGCTCCTCTCTCCCGTTAAAACACTGACCCATTTCTGTCTCTCATGCCAGTCAACCCCTTCCTCATCCTCTAATTTCCCTCCCCTTCTCTGGCCCATCTGAATCATCCTTGCCTTGGTCACCTACGCCCAAGCAGGCATGGCAATTTATCAGCGATGACAATGGTTCCTTGGCAGCGGAGACCATTCATGCTGTGACCTTATCCACTGAGTGCGGCAACCAAGAGCAAGAGACATGAACAAGAGATCCCGAGCCTCATTAAATCTGAAGCCAGCTAAAGAGGAAATATGGAGCAAGAGGAGAAAGCGGCACGAAGGCAGCTACAGGTGGCCAAATTTGCTACAGGCCGAGCACCGGGATCTTGATCAGACTTAGGGAAATGGGATAAACACAAGGCGGCATCATGAGCAGACACTGGGCTTGGCTCCACATGGGTTCGATATTCAAAGGAGGGTTTGAAGGGTTTGGGCCTTTCAAATTATTTGGCTGTTCCTCTCAGACTAAGAAAGCAATATACACTGAGGCCAGGTGTGTAGTGCAAGAGGCCTTTAAAGGAATGGGTTCTACCTATCCAAACTGATCTTTTATGGATACAGGAGTCCCTGAAGAAGTTTTGCTTTCCCAGCTTGGAAGAACTCCTCACTAGCTTCCTCACAAAGACCCTGGAAACCTACCTGCACTGTCTCTGCTTAGCTAGTCCTCCTGAGCCAACCTGCCTGAAAGAAGCTGCAATAACAAGTCAGCGTGCCATCCAGCCCCCATGAGAAAATCAAGGGCTGATTCTAGGCTTTGTTTGATGAGACATGTAGTGCACAAGCCAGAGCCCAGAGGGTTACAGGGCAAATGTCACCTTAAGCCACCTTTCTGCTGCTCAGATTCTAAGTGCCATAGGTTAGAACAGCCCCAGGGGATGCTCTAACTTAGGAAACTTCTCCTGAAGAGGTTAGATCAGGAATTCTACCTTTGAAGCCCAGCCATATGCATGCTCCTTACAAGGCAAACACTCCCAAATGTGTGTTGTTCACTAGTTAGGCGGGGGATAAACCCCGTCCTGTAATGGGGGTGTCAAGCAGCTGAGTACCAGCAGATGAAAGTCAGATGACACGACAGCAGATCTAAGCTGTGGTTATTACATATAGTGCACCTGCAAGCTGCAAGCATCAAAATGAAGCAATAAAGATCCCTCCAATCCCAAAGCTGTGGGAACAACTGGGTTTGTCTAAACGGAGATTTAGGGTGTGACGAGCTGGGGTGTACGTCCAGCCTGCTGCATGCTAGCGGGCCGCATGGGCCTCGCTACTGAGTGCTAAGAGCTCCACAGTGCGCTCAGACCTACTGCAGATCCCAGCAGCAGCAGATCAACCCATCCTGCCAAACTCAAGACACGTCAGCAGGGCCCACACAGCCAGTTAATGCACAGCAAGCTAATGGGCTGGGGGTTTACACCCCAGCTTGCCACCCACGAAGTCTCCATTTAGATGAGCCCCCGGCTCCT